ACACACACAACTATGAGTCAGGCTGGATACATTCACTAGATCAGTAATATGATCAGCTGCTCCCGCCAATGATTACCGTGGAGTAATTCATTACAGTTGAATGTAACTGTTCCACTGGAACACGTTGCAAACCATGTGGTAATTTGCACAATTGAATCATACAGTCAGAAATAGCCCCCGAAATACGGCTTATCAATAACATAAACCCAACAGCTGTTGTGGCAACCAAGTGTGACTGTTGCAATACTAAGAGGAAGTTTTCATTAAATAAAAGCATGCTTATTTAAAAGCAAATAGAAAATTAAAAAATGAATTCGTCGAACCTGAAAAAAATCATGTGATAATTTGATAAACAAAAGAGATAACTTGATTTAGTCGTACCGGTTCGTAGCAGAGCAGTTGCAAAAAATCCCGCACAACTTCCGGGGAAACGTCACGCAACGATTTTGGTACGGTGTTCGCTTTATTTCTGGCGCGCATTCGACTGGCTCGTCTGTCCGAAAAGATGGAATAGATTGACAACGTAAGCAGATAATTAATTCCCTTATCCCATGATATGTTCCTGTAGACAATCACTGAGTACGATATTCTTTGTTCTACTTATCCACCGCACTGAACGGAGCTAGATTTCTTGTGGGAGCTAGATTTATTCCCTGCACGCGTACAAAGAAATCCAGAATTTTCAAAGCATGTAATGAGCCCATTGATTAAGAACACAAACATTGATGAAACAATTTCAATACGGTTAAACAGAAAAATGGCTCAGTCGTGTGTTTGGCAATGAACTCAAGAGAAATCACAATTTGTGCGCAGTTTGGATCACATAACCAAAGTCGTTACGTCATGGTTTTGTGAACAATCGATTTTTTCTTCCCCTGCCCAGGGGAGTTTGAGGGCTTGAATCACTGCGTTGTGCGCACAGCTCAGGCTTCATGAGTCGGATGATAATCGCCTCTGTGGTTGCTAGCGTTGGAAACCGTATTGCTCTCGAGGGGTGTGGTGAGACTCGATAAATGATTGTAAACGCCGAGCGCATTTCAACCACGTGTCTTGTCTCCACCAGACGAGCAACGATCGAACTTGACCCAGCTCCACTCCCACCCTGTGTGAGCCAGTGTGGATTGTTTTTTGATCCGTTAGGATACCTGCATTGTCCTTCGACCAACATACGCCGCACCACTGGTGCACTTGAATTGATAAACCAGCACAGATGAGATCAGCATAGGCAGTTTATCTTTGTTGTAGCATCGGATGCTTGTTGGCATAGGGAACACACAGCTTAGCTGAGCGACATTGAATGTAAATTTCACTGCTGAGGATAAAAGTCTACTGACCCCCTCAGTGGCGACATCGCCTTTGAATGGAAGTTTTATAAAATACATTTTCTTCTCCGCTTTTGGCATTTTTGTTGGCTTATTCTGAGCATAAATTTTGAGTTCTTTTGAGCTTATTGCCAAACACAGGATAGCCATTTTTTTCTATTTTACCGTATTGGAATTGTTTTATATAAATATGATTGTAAAGACTTGAAAAGGAATTCACCGAAAACCTATGTTCGCCTACATTGTGTTCTGAATCCAGAGTTGTTGTACAGAGGAAAATGACATCTTGTAATCTGTTTCGTTTTAAAAAATAAACGAGGGT